TCCCTCAACGTCACCTACTCCTCTGAACCCGCCCCATCTTACCTCCCCTTTATGTGTTATCTGATCCCCACCCCCCTCCCTTCCTTAGCTGCCTTGCACTGACGCGAGTGTTTCTTTTGAGCGTATGATTCTTTGTTTCTGTGTAAACCCAGGATCAGAGCTTCCTTTTTAACTCACCTTTCCTATTGTGTGTATTCCAAGCTGCAAAAGGTAGCGCACCATCGTGCGAAAGACCTTGGACATTTGTTCCCCCACGTTTATTTGTGTGTTTCTCCGGACAGATATTCTAAACTTCAATTTTGTTCTGCATTGCATCTTTGATGTTGTGTGTGAATGACAATAAATGATTTTGATTCTGATTTAGGGCTTTTGCTAATTTTTAAGTTTATAAGTGGATTAGCACTTGCTAAATTTATAGGCTAAATTTATAAGCACTAACTGAGGTCTATAAATGCTATTGATCAACGTTAATGTTTACAGCTGAAGGTGAAAGCTGTCACTCATTTTGTTCATATGTGTGTCACTTATCCACTAGGTGATAATATATATTGACAATATATGAACCCAAATACAGCTGTGGGATGTCAATAAGTCTTAAGAGAGCAACATGGCAACATGTGACTCATGTTGTCTGTTGAAGAATGTTCATGGGTTGACTGGGTGCTTTAGATTTAGCTTTTGCTAAATTTTTCAGTGTGTTACTGCTTTAGAATTAGGGGACCTAAATATTTGAGTCAGTGTTTTAGGGCTAGTGGAACTAATTTCTAGATTAGTGCTGCCCACCACTGATCAGTTTATAAAGTAATCTTTTTATTGACTGACACAAATCAAGCATTATTTTCTGGTTATTGAATGTTCAACCGAACTGATTGTATCAACAATTTAAAAACTTTGTTTTCTTATAAAAGATTTTTAAAAGTTCAGTCAAATCAATTTTGGCTTTTTAAAGTGTAAGTAAGACAGAACTTTGTTATGAAATTTTTTTGCATAAAGTTRCTGTCAGTTTTGAAGATGAGGATGAATGGATGATGCAAAACTGCTCATGCACATGATATCTTAAAACTGTCCGTTCGACCATCCGTTTTCTTCCACTTATCCGGGGTCGGGTCGCAGGGGCAGCAGCCTAAGCAGAGAGACCCAGACTTCCCTCTCCCCAGCCACTTGGGCCAGCCCATCAGGGGAATCCCAAGGTGTTCCCAGGCCAGCTGAGAAACAGGGTGTCCTGGGTCTTCCTCTGGGTCTTCTCCCAGTGGGACATGCCCAGAACACCTCACCAGGGAGGCATCCAGGAGGCTTCCTAACCAGATACCCAAGCCACCTCAACTGGCACCTCTCGACGTGGAGGAGCAGCGGCTCTACTCTGAGTCCCTCCCGGATGACTGAGCTTCTCACCCTATCTCTAAGGGAGAGCCCAGGCACCCTGCAGAGGAAACTCATTTTGGCTGCTTGTATCCGCAATCTGATTCTTTCAGTCACAACCCAAAGCTCGTGACCATAGATGAGTGTAGGAACGTAGACCGACTGGTAAATCGAGAGCTTCGCCTTCTGGCTCAGCTCTCGCTTCACCACAACAGACCRGTACAGCGCCTGCATCACTGCAGACGCAGCACCAATCCGCCTGTCGACCTCCCGCTCCATTCTTCTCTCATTCGTGAACAAGACCCCAAGATACTTAAACTCCTCCACTTGGAGCAGGACCTCCTTCCCGACCCAGAGGCGGCACGCTACCGTTTTCCAGCTCAAGACCATGATCTCAGATTTGGAGGCACTGATCCTCATCTCGACCACTTCACACTCGGCTGCGAACTACTCTAGTGAGAGCTGGAGATCATGATCTGATGAAGCCAAAAGGACCACATCATTCGCAAAAAGCAGAGATGTGATCCTAAGGTCACCAAAAAGGATCCCCAACACCTTGGCTGCGCCTAGAAATTCTGTCCACAAAAGTTATGAACAGAATCGGTGACAAAGGGCAACCTTGGTGGAGTCCAACTCTCACTGGAAAAGAGTCAGACTTACTACTGGCCAAGCTCTGGCACCGGTCATACAGGGACCTAACAGTCAGTATCAATGGGCCTGGTACCCCATACTCCCGGAGTTCCCCCCACAGGAGTCCCCGAGGGACACGGTTGAACTCCTTCTCCAGGTCCACAAAACACATATAGACTGGTTGGGTGAACTCCCATGCACATTCCAGGACCCTGCTGAGGGTGTAGAGCTGGTCTGCTGTTCCACGACCAGGACGAAAACCACACTGCTCTTCCTGAATCCAAGATTCGACCATCCGATGGACCTTCCTCTCCAAGACCCCTGAATAGACCTTACCAGGGAGGCTCAGATGTGTGATCTGCCTATAGTTGGAACACACTCTGCGGTCCCCCTTTTTAAATAAGGGGACCACCACCCCGGTCTGCCAATCCAGGGGACCTGCCCCTGATGTCCATGCGATATTGTAGAGTTGCGTCAACCAACACAACACCCAGAACCTCAAGGAACTCCAGGAGAATCTCATCCACCCCTGGTGCCTTGCCACCAAGGAGCTTTTTAACCACCTCGGTGACCTCGGCACCAGAGATTGGAGAGTCCGACCCAGGGTCCTCTGTCTCTGCTTCCTCATGGGAAGACGTGTCAGTAGGATTGCATACATGCCAACCTCTTCAGATGTTTACCTGTATAAAGAGCCTCAAAAATCCGTGAATTTTGCAAAACATCTGTACAACTCGCACCCGTGGTGGATGTCTGTCGGCTGTGGAGATGAAAGCGCCTGCTGCGAAGCAGGAGGAAAGGAGAGCGAAAAAAGTTCAAAACTTACAATATTTTTGGCGGCAGAACAGGTTGGAAGATGGCTGTTTGATGTAATTTATCGTTTTCCAAATCATCCTACAGGCTCTGACATGTTATATAAATTTGAAAATGAGGTTTTGAAAAAATCCATGGGACTTGAAAAAAATCTGTGAGATTGCTCTATACATCCGTATACCTGAAAAATGACATGAAATCCTTATAACTTACGGACAATCCGTACAAGTTGAGATGTATGGGATTGAGGAGGTCTTAGAAGTATTTCGCCCACTGACCCACAACGTCCAGAGTTGAGGTCAGCAGCGCACCAT